TCCCTACACCCGACCTTGCCTCCCAGGGCTCCCCGTGGAAGCAGGATGGAAGGGAAAGCAGGCAGACAGATGGATGGATGGGGAAGGGGGAGGGCCTCCTCCCCCTGGTGCCTTCGCAGCCACAGAGCTGACTCTTCCTGGCTTCTGGGTTCCTTGCTCTCTTTAGTTAAAAACGAAGGGGGAGGCGAGGGCAGGAGCGGGGCAAGGCCTGGGCCCAGCCCGGCATGCGGTAGCTCCCCGCAGGGCGCCAAGGAAGAGACGCCCCCAGCGTCGCGTCACGGCGTAGCTGGGCTGGCATGTCCAAGAGTCTCTAAACTAGGGGTGGGGAGGGGAGCAGCTGCTGTGGAGTCTGTATCCAGGGTCAGAAACCAACCCAACACAACCATCTGCTGCCTGGCCCAGCACTGAGGCCATCGTTCTTGTCCGTGTCCCACCGTGGCTAGGAGCAAGGTCCCTAGATGTGTCCCCTCCGCTGACGCTCCCGGGGAGAGGGGCAGCTCTCCAGAGGGCTTTGGTAGTGTTGGTTGTACATCCAGACGTCGAGTCAGCAGGTGAAGTCCTCAAAAGTGCCCCGGGTTGAGTGATGAGGTAGGATGTTGGCTGCGTACGTCATGCCAGCTGGGTGGCCCCTTATGCTCTCGCAGGGGTTCTGGGCACAAGGGAGAGGCAAGTTAGGAGCAGTCAGTCCCTGCGTGTGAAGACAATCCCAAACGCCCGGGCAATGGCAACGCGAGCACTGCTAGAGAGGGAAAGGTCCTTAGAGGGTCAGCCCTTCAGTGCCCTGATGCCCCCGCTATGCGGGCACTGGAGGGTGGAGGCTAACTCTGGCCGGGCCCCGGGCACCAGGGTGGCGCCTCGAGTACTCACGTGGCGCTTCACATCATCCATGCTCAGAGCAACGCCCTGGTCCGCGTTGTTCCTTCTGTGGTTCTTTCGGCACTTGCCCCGGCGACACAGCTTGTGCTTTATAACCTGGGGGCAGCAAGAGCATCTGCTGGCTGAGACAGCCCCTCTGGACACGAGCAGCCCCGTGCTCTTCAAAGCTGGGGAAGGGCCAGGTCGCCAGCGATGGGATGTCTGCGACGGGAAACGCACAGGCCAGATCCTGCTTCCAGCAGGGGATCCAGCGTGACTCCACGTCCTGCACGCGCACTGGGAAGGCTGAGAGCACAACCCCACAGCACCAGTGTCTGGGTAGGAAGGGTGGGATAAGAGTACGGTGGGAGGGATGTCTTCGCAGGAGGCATTTGGGTCCATAAGGATTGGAAGAGGAGCCCAAGCCTGGCAGAGGCCCAGGGAGTGGCAAAGCAGAAAAGCCCAGGCTGACGCGACGGGGCTGGAGGGTAAGATCAGGCCAAGAGCGGCCGGCAGGCAGGCAAGGGACATGGAGCAGGGGAGCAGCTGCTCTGGGCAAGGCAGGGTCTGGGCAAGCAGGTTGGCAGGGAGGGGACCTCTGGGGAGCGCTCTGCTGCACAGCAGGGAAGGGGGCTTTATCCCCCCGCGGACGACCAGGCTCCAAAGCCAAGGAGAGGGGAGAGCGAGGCAACTCACCTCATAAACATAATCAACCAGCTCTAGCACAGTCAGGATACTGGCCCCAATAAACAGCCCCATCTGCCCACCAATGTCACCTGCAGAGGAGAGGGGACGAGAGGCAGTCAGGGGGGAGCAGCAGGCTCTGCTCCCAGGGGCTGGGTGACAGCAGGGATGGAAGCAGAGAAGGAGAAAAGAAAGGAGGTGGGAGGGAGGAGGCGGCAGCTGCACCTGTTGTAGTGACTCATTTGCCTGCAGCGACAGGCCGGATCCCTCTGCCGTTAGTTCACACTAATCTTGTTAGCACCTGCCTGTGATGGGGACCCTTGCAAGGCCAATGCCTGGTAAGATCAGCTGGGGATTGTGGGCCTGACCCTAGAGAAGGCAGCAGGGGGGGGGGCATGTGCCCCAGAAAAGGCAAGCCAGGATGGCCTGTGACCCACTGTGGACAGGGACTGTGCCCCAGGGGGTGGGTGGACACCACCTATCTTGGGCACTTCCAGTCCCAGAGGTGCAGTGTGAGTCCCCGCAAGCTGCTGTGACTGCACGTGCACATCTCACCCGACTGCCTGTCCTTTATCTGCAGCCCTCCGCCTCCCCATGGCTCACCCGCTGCTCCACAGGCTGTGGTGGTCCTCAGCTCAGGCTGAGGCTGGGTGCCCAGGTGACACAGGTGCGACTTGGCGACCTTGTCCCACAAGCCTATTCCCTGAGCCCAAACCTCGACTGCTCCACACAGATGGAGCGGATGAAGCCACCGGTGTTTTCTAGATCCTTTATTCAAAGAACCCAAGTGTCTGGAGGCTGAGGAGGGAGCCTGGTGCGAGCGGGCCTGGCTTCTGCTGCTGCCGAGCAGGCTGGTGGGTCATGCTGCTCACAGCACTAGGGTCCCCAACTGCCCTCCCTGCCCCAGATCTCGCTGCTCCCCATGGCTAGGCAGGAGGCAGAGCCCGTACGCCTGGGAGGCAGCCTAGGATCCCTGCTGAATGGACCCTTAGCACATGCTAGGCCAGCACTGCTCAGGAATGAGCGCAGGCCTAGCTGGGTCTCTTCCCAAGCATGGCCACCAGCACCTGCAGACTCACCCAGCAAGCCAGCCACCTCGTAGGCTTTCTTCTGCTCGATGGTCTCGTAGTTCAGGGCTTCAAAGAAGATGTCCAGCACCAGGATGTTCTCTCTGCGAGAGACGGGTGAGAGGGGCATCAGAGCCTCTGCACACATCAGCATGGGGCGTGTGAGCAAAGACCCCGGCAGGGTCCAAGGCCAGGGAGTCGGGTGCTCAGTCAGCACCAAGCCCCCTGCAGCTCTGAAGACAGGGCGGGCACCCACTGGAGGAGTCAGTGGGAGGCAAAGCCCTGCTGGCCTGGGCACCCCTCAGCTCTGCCCCAGCCCCTGCCTTTCCTTCTCCCCCCAGCGTACCCGATGTACTGTTCCGACTTGTTGTACTTCTTGGCGAGGTACTTGGCCGAGGCCTTGCTGGGAATCTTCACCATGGACAGCTCCTTGCCGTAGCGGGTCACGTTGCAGGGCATCTCACAGATGCAGTAATCGTTGTCCTTCTCCACCAGGAAATCTGGGAGCAGGAGATGGGGAGAGACAGAACGGATCGAACCGCGGCAGCCCAGACGCTACCAGGGCCGCGGGGCTGTTTGCAAACCTCAGGCCAGCACCCCCTCGGGCTGACGACCGACCTGGGGCACTCACGGAAGTGACTCGAACTACAGAAACTGTCGCCAGCTGCCAACCATGCAGATACAAGGAGAGGAAGGGGTGGAGATCGCCCAAGGGGAGGGGGTTGACGGAGGAGGGCAGAGGTGGGAAATACGGCACGGAAGGTCATGAAACAAAGTTCTTCATAAAAGCGTCTCCGCAGGTTGGGAGGGATGAAAGTCAAGGGGTGCTGGGGTCTGCTGTGGCTGAGTCCCCACTGCTGCCTGCCACGGGCAAGGCTCTGCCACGATCCAGGGGGCCACGGGGTTGCCGGCAGGTGTGGCAGGACTGGCAGCAGGGGTTGTTGGGTCTTTTTCCTCTCTTCAGGGGCTTGTGCAGATAAAAGGATCAGAGTCTACTGCAGCTGCCTGCTTGTGGAGCTATTCCTTTGGCTCATGCTTTTAGCGGTGATAAGACAAGGCTCACATCCCAAGGAAGGCCCTGGCAGGAGCACAGACACCATCAGGCAAGGGACCAGGGAGGCACCTTGGATATAACTAGAGCTTCTTCAGCCAATATGGCTTGGCGACATTGTTATGCTGGGGACAGCAAGACCCATCTAACACAGGGAGCGGAGCTCAGGACATGGCTACAGCTCGGGGCTTCCTCCCCCACGACATGTGGCCGAGGCGCTCGGGCCCCACAGGTGCCCAGGCAAAGGCCCAGGTCAGAACTGAACCGACCCCACACCAAGGCGACTTGCACCTTCCTGGCATGTAATGAGGGCGGAGGTGCTGCAGGGAGGTGCAACTTAAGCAGGGCTGAGGACAGCTTCCAAGCGAGCTTCATCCACCCTCCGGCTGCTGCGAGGGGCTTTCCTCACCCCGGCAGGAGCCGCGCACCTGTCTCCAGGCTAGAGGCCAAGCCTGCAAGGGGGCGGCAGGGCAGGCTCACCTAGGGCCGGGTCGGCGCACTCCTTGTACTGCTCGGGGGTGCAGTAGGGGGCATCGCCTGCAGAAAGGGAGAAAGAGCAACACCTCAGCAAGGCCTGTGCACTGGGACAGGACCCCAGCGGACCCGATCCAGGGAGCAGGGGAGATGCTGGGGTGCATGGGCCATGGTCTGATCTGCCTGGGGCAGGGATACTGACCCCTCACAGGTATCCCCAGCAGGGCTCCAGACCCCAAGCAAGGGGCTGTATGATCTCCCCACCCGAGGACATGCCTGCCTCATGCTTTATCATTTTGGCAGGGGGTGAAGGTGCTGCCCTGGTCCAAAGTGGCTCTCCTTAGCTGAATGTGGCCCTGCTGGGTTGCTCTGGAGCTGCCTGCACTCCCCACCTGCCCTCAGGGGCTCACCAGGCATATGCACCATGCGGCAGTTGCAGTTCTCCACCAGGTAGCGGGTCTCGCAGTCGATGCGACAGGCCGTGATGCTGTAGGTATCGAAGAACTCGGAATCACCGGTGATGGCCTTGCAGTCGCCCCAGGGAGGGGGCAGGTAGATAAGCTGGGGGGCAAGAACAGGAGGCATGAGGACAGGAGTGCCCAGCTGATGCCTGCAGAGCAGCACCATGGAGCAGGTGCCAGCCAGAGCACCCCGGGAGTACCACGCCAGTCGCAGGCCTTGGGCCTGAGAAAACCCCATGGCAGGTCGCTGCCTCCACTGGATGGACGAGGACGCTGTTCGAGGCTGCAGCAAGCCTGGGCTACCACTTGGGAGTCCTGGCCCTCAGCCCCACTCCAGTGACTAGACCCCAGAGGCTGTTTCTGGCCCCAGAATCACGGTGTAATCCCTCCAGGCTCTGGCTGTGCTGCAGGACTTTCCTCCTCCCCTGGCCATACACACCATGGGGGGGATTTTCTGCTCTGCAAAGGGTGGGCAGAAGCAGATCAGGGGCTGCCAGGTCAGTACCAGCCTGGGACTGGCCGTGCCCCTCACCCGCTGCTCCTGGCAGGACACAAAGGTCTGGAATCCTGGTGCTACCCCGAACCCCAGCTGGTCGATTAAGGGAGGCTCATCCTGGCTGTGGATTTGCACTTTGATCCCAGCTTCGAAGGAGGTCTCATCTGTGAGAAACAGAAAGGCAGGACACAGGTGTGCGGCACTTCCCACCGTGACAGTGCAGCCATGCCCTGGGCTCTCACGTTTCAAGCTGCTTTGTGTCAATGGGCTGGATGGGGGAGCCAAGCCCAGAGCTGGGCTTGGCCCCTGCTTATGCTGCTGCAGCCCTGCCCCGAGTGGAGCAGCACGCAGCGAACATGCCCGGGCCCCTCTGCCTCGCGCCGGCTCCCCTGACTCTGGCGTTACTCCAGGCTTGCAGGAGGGAGAGCAGAACGCCCTTGTTCTGGAGCGCTCCCACGCAGGCACCTCGAGCTGGAGACACCGCCTACACGGGGCAGCAGGCACTGCTCCTCCCATGGCACTGCCGCCCTGCACGAGGCAGCGATGCACCCGGGGCACCTCCTGCCCAGTCTCACAGGTTCCTCTCCCTAATCCGGGCTGTGTGCCTGGGGACCCCCACGCCTAGGAGACTGCAGCACCAGGCTTGTCCAGGCAAGGGATGAGCGGTGCAATGGGAGGAGGGGGACGCTGGCCCGCACACCCATCCCCACACTATGGGTTTGAGCACAATTGCTTGGGCTGCTGCTCCCTGGGACTGCAGCACTGGAAGTGGCTGGCACTATCCATAGACAAGTGATGGCTGCTTCATTTACATGGGTAGGCAGTTGCCATGGCAAATAATTGAGGTAGGAAAAGAAGGAAGGGAAAAGAGGCTGACAAAGAAGTGGGAGGGGTTGAGAAGATGGGGGTCTACGGGAGGGACACAGTGGGGAGGAGGGGGGGGGACACTTCTCCAGACAACTGCCCCTGCCCCGACTGGGGATTGCATGGGCTTGTGCGGCTGGCACGGACGCGTGGGGCAGGGGGCTCCTGGGTGGCCCTGTGGGCAGTGCCGGTCCCTCTCTGCGCAAGGCGGGGGCTGTGTGAGCACCTGTCCTGGGGCCCGTTACCTGTCTCGCCCCAGATGGGCAGGTACTCGTCCTGCTGGATGTCCAGCATGATCTCCAGGCCATTGCCGGTGCCGCCCTTCACGGTGATGAGAGGGGACTTCCCGTCCTGCCCCGCGTTGAAGGTGTAGCACTTCCCGTAGCGCGTGAAGACCTGTTGGGGGGGACGGGGGGGACAGTCAGAGCCACGGCTGAGCCCACGGGCCATGCCCTCCTGCAGGGCTGGCTCTCCAGGCCTCTGCGCGGTGCGGCGCGGTGCGGGCTCGGCTCGGCCTGTCACAAAATTCACAGCATGTGGGGCTGCTGGGACCGACCCCGGGGACCCATCTGTGCTGGAAGCAGTCTCGCAGCGCAGTAACCGTGGCAACAGCCCCGCGCAAGAGGACTGGCAATGGAAATAAGGCATCGGCCGAAACCCCGGGCTGCCTGCGGGACGGCGCTGGGTCCCTCGCCCCAGGGAGGGCACACCGGCAGCTCGTAGTTACATTGCACTTGCTCACGTTCCCTTTGCAGATGCTCCGCTAACGGGCTCCATTATGGGCACCGGCATGTAATTAACATAACGAGGAACACGGGGAATGTGATGAGACTGCGGATCCTGCCTTTCATCTAGGGAAGCAAGAGCCGCCGGGAAACGTTGGCTGAGCCTCACAGCCCCTCCTCCCTGGCCAGCCTCCATTGCTCGAGATGGGGACCGGCTCTGGGGGAGGCAGGGGCTCGCACCCGGGGACGATGCAGCAGAGCCGGGCCTCGGCGCCCCATCTGCTAAACCACCAAGCCCCGGCTCCACCTCCAGCTGGAAACAGAGCCAGGGGGCCCCAGCTTCCAGCCCCCCGCTCCTTCCCAGCAGCGCAGGATCCCAGGCTGCCTTAGCTGTCCCTGGAGCCACGGGCCTGGCGCTCCAGACCCAGGCTCACCCCACCCGTCCCCGAGCTCCGGAGCTGCCAGGGCCCGGCTGTGCCAAGAGAGCCTGGGCTGGATGCCAGGCAGCCAGTCTTTGGGGAGGCGCGGTGCCAGCTGCGCCCCGAGCCCTCTAACCAGACAGGGATCCTTCCTGCCCCTGGTGCCCATCACCTGTTCCTGCCCCTCCGCCCCCAAGAGCCCTCCTTGCCCTTCCTGCTCCCTCCGTGACTCCGATCCGCATGCCAGCACCTGCCAGGACGTTGCTGAGCAGGGCGCATGCTGCCACTGCCCTGCAAGGGGCGCTGGAAACGGCGCGCAAACCCGAACTCTGCTGCCGCTGGACGTGTCTGGCCCTGGTGGCTTGAACCGCACAGAGGCCACCCAAGCCTAGCATCCCTGGTCCTTGCGTCTGCGGTCCCAGGGCAGCAGGGTGGCTGTAGCCGAGTGCAGGGGTTGCTGTGATGGCCAAGACCAGCCCTCCCATCTACCTGTTCAGAGAAGCAGCTTCCCCTCTGCTCGCCCAGTGCAGGTGTGGGATTCAGGAGGCACCTCCTGGTCTCTCCCTTGCCCCTGGGCAGAGCAGGGCGGACAGCCCATTTCCCACCCCCACCCATAGCCAGACCCAGCAGCGCTGCCAGGGCCCGATTCACCCGCTCGGCTCTTCAGGCGCAAGAGGGGCCTGGGCGCAGCCCCTGCGCTGCCAGTTGGGAGCGCAGCCGAGTGCCACGCACGGGCATTTGGCATCCCTTGGCCCTCCTCACATCCCAATGAGCTGCGCCCGCAAGGCGCTGAGGGCAGGGCACGCAGCCTCCTGTGCGTGAACTGGGCAGAGTCCCAGAGACACATCCCTGGAGCTGCCCCTCGGCTCCGCTGCCCCCACGCCAGCCCAGCAGGGCAGGCCGGCAGTGCTGAGAACCGCAGACGCTCACACGCACCCGCAACGGTAAAAGAAATTGCTTTTGCAAAGTCCTGAGCCCCGGAGAAGCCCTTACCGGCAGGGGCCCCCTTTCTCCTCCAGTCTCAGCCACCCCATCCAGCCAGGTGTCCATTTCCCAACCTGCTCCATTTGGCCTCCCTCCACCTCCCGACGGCCAGGTCCATGCATACTCCTCCTCCCCCTCTCCCTCCCAACATACACAGCACGTTGGCATCTCCCTGGCCTCCTCTTGCTAAGACCATCCGCCCCAGCCCTCCCTCCTGCGGGCCGGTGGATCTTCAGCCAGCCCCGTCACCACCCCTGACTCACGGTGGTGAAGTTGTGGGGCCCACAGCGCTCGCCCCGGAAGCGACAGGAAAGCAGCATCTCCTCGAGCTGGTGGCCCAGCCGGTCCAGGAGGTGGAGGGTGTTGTGGCCCTGCTGTGGGGGCGGCAGGTAGTGGGAGAAGTCCAGCAGCTTCTCCAGCCAGCGCCAGCGCTCCTCTCGCAGCAGCTCGCGCGCCGCGGGCTCTGGCCGCAGCCGCTGGGTGAGCAGCCCCAGCCAGTAGCCGGCGAGGTGCAGATCGGCGCGGCCCATGCGGCGCAGCAGCAGCAGGTTGTTGTTGCAGATGGTGACAGCTGGGAAGGTGAGGTTGCGGGCATAGGCCATGTGCACCTTGGTGTGCACAGGCGAGGACAGCAGGTAGCGGATGCGGTTGGACGACCAGGTGAGCAGCAGGGCCAGCGAGGCCAGTACGGCCATCGCCCAGAACGCCCGGCGCGGGCAGGACAGCCGCCCCGAGAAGACGTACCGCAGCCCGTGGAACTTGGTCTGCTCCAGGAGGAAGGCAGCAACGTCCTGCAGGGAGCCCCGGTCCCTGCCAGCTGGCTCCATGTTGCGCCGGGCCCAGCCCGGCTCCCACCCCTCTTGGGGCCGGGCAACCCTCTCGGGCAGCGGTGGGAACATGGTGGCAGGAGACAGAGTTAGGGGCAAGGAGTCTGCACCCAGAGCAGGATCTCCCTCCCTGCCTCTACTCGCCGTGGCTCTGCCTTTCCAGCATCTCCAGCTCCCTCCCCAGATGGCTCACGGCTCCGCTCCCACGCAGAGCGCTGGCAGGGCCCCCGGAGCAGACGGTCTGGAGGCAGCTCCAGCTCCCTGGAGCCTTGCTCCCATGTCGTTCCTGCCACTCCTGAGCAGCCTCCTGTCCCTTTCTCTGGGCGAGAGGATGCTCAATCCTGCCTGCAGCCTCCTCAGGCAGCAGCTTCCAGCACAACGGCTTGGTGACTGGGGAACTGTCTCCCTCTGGCAGCCACTGCCAGTGACTGCAACTCCCCTTGCCTCCGTGCACCCAGCATGGCAGGATGGGACTGCAGTGGTTCACTGCTTTGTCTTGGGATACAGCGCGTGTGTCCTGGGAGAAGAGGGCTTCAGAGAGAGAGAGCACAGACCGCAGCCCGCCCAGAGATGTGGCTGCAGGCGTGCGTGCGCAGGGACCTGGCTGCAGCCAGGGTAGGGGAGACAAGCCCGCAGGCGCTGCCTGCACTGAGTGGGAGAGATGCCTGCGTCCGAGGCATCTGGCTTCCCATCGACCACCTGGCAGGTGCCCCCCGTGTTCGCTGGTGGCTGCAGGGTGTCCTCCTGATGCCTCAGCTGTGGACCCACTGCACCAGGCCTGTCCTGGTTTGTAAGCACGGTCCCCGTGGTGGTGCAAGGAGGCTGCGGTCCCACTGGAGCCGGGGCTCCGGCAGACAGGAATGGTACAGTCCCTGTGGGATGCTCTGCTACTTTGCCTGCCCGCGTGTAGTAGGGGCAGCAGCAGAGCCCAGGCCTCAGAGGCTGCCTTGGGACTGCCGCGGTGGTGGGGGCAGGAGGAATGGGGCAGCCTCCCCTCCAGAGCCTGGATTCCTCAGCCTGCGGCCGGGGCCCAGAGCCCTGCAGCACCCTTGCGCCCTCCTCTGCCCCCACCTCCACCTGTCCCCCCCTTGCCCAGCACCGGACCCCTGCCAGGACACTGGGCCCCCTCCAGGGACCCTCCTGCCTGGGGGGCTCTGCTGACCCTCTCCAGCCCTGGTCTGTGCAGGGCAGCGCTGCTGCCTGCTGTCCACAGCGAGCGTCTGCAGCTCCAGCACGGCCAAGAGCTAGAGCTGCCTCTTGGGACCAGACGGGTTTGGCTCTGCCCTCCCTTTCCAGGCTCCATCTCACCAGCGCTCTGGCAGGAGGTCCCACAAGGGCATCCTGCCAGCTGGGACTCAAGGACTCCTCCTGGCATCCAGCTGCCAGCTGCAGGGTTTTCCTCGGAGACAGCTGGTTGTGGCACTGCAGCTGTCTGTACCTCCTGGGCTGGATGGCACTTGGAGCAGGACAGGCTCCAAGTCCTCCCAGCCTGTCCTCAGGTGCTACCACACCAAGCTGGGGAGATGCTGAGCTAAAGGAGGCTCCAGAGCCAGCAGAGATCTGCTGCGAGACCATGGGCTGCTGTGCTGGAGCAGGGCAATGCTTGCCAGAGCCTGACACTTCTCATATTCAGCTCCGGAGAAGGGGATGCCGAGGAGTCACCCATCTTCTGTCCCCAGCCACCCCCTCTGTGCCAGCAGGCTCCTCTCCTGGCATCCAGCGCAGCCCCTGTGCCAGGCGGCAGGACCAAGCAGACGAAACGGTAATCCCCAGGGTCACGGCACCCAGCAGGCATGCTGCTGCCACCTGGCAGGTTCCCGTGTCTGGGTGTCTGCTCTTCCTGTCTGTCCAACTGATCCGGCATAGCGGGAGACTCCTACTGTGCCCACTCCTGGGCCCCGGTGGGGCAGGATGGCTGGAGAAGCACACGACTGGAACCCACACCCAACCCTAAGGAGGTCGGCTGGTGGCACGGGACATCTGCCCTCCAGCAAACCGCCACACAAAGCACCCCCCAGCGCCATCCTCCCTGCAACCTCCTAAAGAGGGCAGGTAAGAAACAGCTGCTGGGTTTCATGTCCACACGTTCGTGAAACATCCCACTCTTGTCCCAGTCCCTGCTCCCAGCGCAGTCGGCCACGTGCCCGCGCACGGTGCCCCACAGTGCCAAGGACGATCATTTCTGCAGCCCGGGGTCCTGGCTCCCGGCTCCTCTGGAGGCACGGAGATTAGGCCTATATGGCCACAACACAACCTGACTAACTCAGCCAGCCCTGGCATCCCACAGCTGCAGCCCCCCGCTCTCAGCCTCCTCATAGCGAGACGGACAACCCAGGCTGTCCCCAAAGCGCCCCCACCCATGCCTGCTTGACTTCTGAACAAGCGTATCTGTGTCCTCCTCTCCCCTCCAGCGCTGACCTTGCCCTGGTGAGAGAAGCCTCTGGGGCTGAGCGATCGACCAGCTATCGGGTGTCTCCTTGGCCCGTGCAAGGCGAGCGCTCAGGCGCACACAGCGTGCGGGAGCTGGGCACGTGAGATATTCCTTGTTAAAGGTGAGCTGGGAGGCAAAGACATTTTCCAAAACCTTCCAGACCCCCAAGTAGGAGGCTCCTTGCTAGGGCAGGGACGAGGACCTGGACGGACCTCTGGGAAGAACAAAGAGCATGGGAAGAGAGAAGTGAGGCACAAAAGAGCAGAGCCAAGCCGCTCAAGCCCAGCGCCAGGCTACCTAGGACTGCCCTGCTTACCATCCCTGACAGCAGCCCCTCCATTTGGGCTCGGGAATACAAAATGCTGTAGCCTTGCCCGGGGCAGACACAGCGTCCTGAGGCTGGTCCTTCTGCACTGGCCCTTGGGTAACCCTTCACAAAGCACAGGCTCCCAGCTTGGCAGCCCAGCCCCCTGCCTGGCATCGGCACCTCCCTTAGGTGGGCCGGGCCCGGCACGCCCTACCACAGGCACCTGATGCCTGACAAGCGGGACCAGCATTTCCACAAGTGGATGCCTCCCTCCCCTGCAAACTTGTGACACCAGGTGCCCTGCCTTGCCCTGCTCCTCCTCCTCCTGCCCTCGCCCTGGCTCCCCAAGCCCTTTTACTGGCATTGCAGGTCAGTGTGTGCCCCGGGCACACACGGAGCATTTTAATTACAGCAAGCAGTGCGTTCCCCACAAGGAAGCCAGGAGGCCTGGCTGGTGCTAAAAATGGAGCTAGGGGGTGCTGGGACAGAGAGAGAGAGGGCCAGCGCGGCCAGTCTGATCCGCCGCGCTTGCATGTCAGAGCTGAGCACTAGCGACTCATCGCAGCAGTCAGAGCCTGCACGCCAAGGCAGACCGTCTCCTCGCTTCGTCTGCTGGAACGGGGGGGGCAAGAGGGCAAATGGCGATGAAGCTGCAGCAGTTTCGCCTGGAAGAAGGGTGCACGGCAAAGGGGCTGTCAGGATCCTCCAGGAAGCAGGGAGTGATGTATGGGGTCAAAGCACCACCGTAGACCAGATTTCCTGTGGCAGCGCCAGGTCCCAGATGGTGGAAACACCCCGCATGGGGCATCTGCTCCCCATAAGGACAGCCCGGGCCCCGACTGCAGTCCTACAAGCACCGCTCAGCCTCCCCCGATGCCACAGTCCCGCCGAGCCCCAATGTCACGCCTTGCCGGCAAGCGCGCTCTGTTCCTCCCACACAGGCATCAGAGGGCACCCATCGCTATGCAGTCCTTACTGCGCCTGCACAGCAGAGAGAAACAGGCCTGCGAGGACAGGGCCTAAGACGGAGACGCGCTCCCAGCTATCTGCCATGGAGGGGGACAGCTGGAGCGGGCTTTACTCACCACAGAGAAGTCCTCAGAGCTGCACTCGATGCCCCGGTAGCTGCAGCTCAGCAGCATGTCCTCCAGCTGGTGGCTGGTGCGGCTGTAGAAGGCATGCAGGTTCAGGGCCTCATCAAAAGTCTCCGGGTTGGGCTGGGCCACTGGGAAGCCTGGCTCCATCCAGGTCTCGTACTCTACCAGGGGCGCGATGTACAGCAGGTCGTCCTGGCTGAGCTGCGACGTCCGGACGCGATTGATGTTGCAGAAGGTGATGGCTGGGAAGGTCATCTCAGCACTGTCCTGCTCGTCCAGCAGCGTGACGTGGTGGTACTCCAGGTAGTAGATGATGCGGTCGGCCACCTGGTAGAGGAACATGGAAAGGGAGAGCAGGAAGGCCAGTGCCCAGAGGGCCTGCCGCACGCCAAAGCCACCCTCCACGAAGATGTGGCCGACTCCGTGCAGCGTGCAGCCGCTCGCAAAGGCCGCCAGGTCCGTGGCCGTTCCCTGCTCTTCCTCCTCTGCTTCCTCCTCCTCCTGACCATACAGGAACTCGTCCGCACCTTCCTCGCCTCTGCCCGTGGCCCCGTCGCTTCTGTGCCTGTCCTCGCCGGAGAAGGAGATGGTGCAGAATATCTGGAGGGGCATCCTGCAGTGCCCCTCCACCCTGCGCATTCAGCTACAGGCCGGATAGTGCCCAAGGCCTTTGCTCCGATCCCCTGGGCTGGGTGAAGACGGAACGGGCTGAGAGAGGCAGGGAGCACGAGAACAAGGGAAGGGGAGCGACAGCAAGGGAAAGTTGAGTGAGAAAGAGCCGGTGGTGGAAGGAGAGCGACTGAGCGAGGAAATCAGAGACTGTGGGGGGGAGGGTGACAGAGGGAGGAGTGGAGGGAGAGGGAGGAAAGGGGAAGAGAGAAGAGAATGAGGCCGGACTGGAGGAGTGCGGGAAAGGGGATGAAAGGAGGAGGAGCCAGGGGCGGTTCTGCGGGCCCTACCTGGCCCTCCTGGGACGCGGGTCTGGACCGCGCCTGGCAGGGCAGAGCAGAGATGTGTTGCTGACTCTGAAAGCTTCGCTGCTTGATTTGCTAACAAGTTGGGAGCTCCTGGCCCCGGTGCTCCGTGCAGTTGCCAGCTCCAGACGATAGCACGCGTGTGCATGCCGAGCCAACAGCCCGGCACTGGAATCGGCCCCAGCCGGCAGGGCCTGGGCCTGCCGCAGAGCTCAACACCGTGCCCTGTCCAGAGAGGAGGCGGCGGGGCCAGGGGAGGACCCAGCCCCTGCGCCAGCCTGGCCGTGTCTCAGCTCCGTGGGGCTATTCGGAGTCCAGAGCCACAGGGAAAGCAGGACACGCGCTTCTCCTGCTCTGCACGGCTAATGGGCAGCACGCTTTCCCAGAGCACTACAGCTGCCTTCCATGAAGCCAGAAACCCCACGGGAGACCAGGTCCAGGCTTTCCTCTAAGCCCCAGCTCCACAGCCACAGCACCGGGGCATGGCTTCCCTCTGACATGCTGAATGGAAACAGGGCCAGGTGGGTCAGCCTCTGGGCTGCAGGTCTGCAAGGGTCTCCAGATGACTCCGTGGGGGCACGGCCTCATGGTCCATGCCCACGCCTGGTGCTGGACATCATGGTGCTTCCAGAGGCCGCGGGGATGGGGCTGACCCCACTCCAGCCAGCCTAGAGGGTGTTGGGCTTCTGCGCTGTGATGACACTGTGGAAGATGAACGCCCTGGTGCTTTGGCCAAATCTAGGTAACTCCACGCCTTTCTCCCTAATTGCAAGGGGATGCAGCGCTCTTCTTCACTTCCCGCTCAAAGTAATGGCAGCCTTGGGGCATGCAATGAGCTGTCGCACTCCGCTCCAGAGCTGGCCGCACCCGCGTCAGCAGTAATTCCCTGGCAATAAGCAGATCAAGGTTGCAGCTTACAGGAGCCAGGCAGATGCCCGCTGCCCCTTCAGGACACAGCTCACCCAAGATGCTGGCCTGCTGCTGGGTGGCTGGGCTGGGGGCGGCACAGGCTTGGCGTGGGGTGGCAGGAAGGGCACCCCAGCGGCAGGGGGCTGCTGCCCAGCTCCTTGACCCTCAGCCGTGGTGGCAATGGTCATGCAGAGGCTGCAGCTCAGCCTCCAGCCCCAGCAGGTCAGTGATGGGGAAGCCCTTGGTGTGCAAGCTGGGGCCGTCCAGCCACACCTCCTTCTTGCTGGGTATCGCCACTCTGCCCTTGGCCCAGCCCTCGGCACCCTCCTCCAGCACCAACTGGGGGCTATTTAGCCCACTGCCCCAGTCAGCTGGCTCCAATCAGCTCTGTGCATGGGCAGTGGGTGGGGGGGCGCTGCCCAGCCCCTGGGATTACTGGCCACTGAAGTCCCCTGACAACTGGGGGGCCGGGTGTGTGTGTGTGTGTGTGTGTGTGTGGCACCCCCCTGACCGCAGTGCCCTGGGCGGTCACCCACGCTGCCCATCCCTAAGGCCGGCTCTGAGTCAGGCAAGGACAGGGCAGGGAGTGGAGGGCAGGTGGACTGACCTGCAGGGACAGCTTCACCTGGCATGTCCAAGGAGCGGGGAGGCAAGGCTGGAGCCAGGGCTGCAGCGCATGTCCCGCAAGGAGGTGGCGTCGGGAGTCCAAGGAGCAGTGCCGGGGGAGCCGGGGCAGCCTGGCAAGGCCACATGCTCCTTCCCCACAATGTGAAGACTACTTTGCAGAAGCGATGCCCTCCCTCCCTGCGGTTCTCTCTCTTGTACTCAGCGCATTACAAAAAGCATCTGATGCGGCCACAGACTAATAACCAGGAAGCCTCCGGCACCGCAGTCGCCACTGCCTGACCTAAGGGGAGCAGAACTGTTTATGTAGGGCACCGTTTTCAGGACTGAGAGCTAGTCAGGAAATGGATTTTTTGGCTGATGCTAGTTCAGCATGAAGTCAATACGCCCCATCCTGTGGACTTAACTGCTTGCTTGCTGCCTCCTTTGATTGCCATATCTCATATTTAGCAGATCTCAGCACGCCCGTCTACTGGGACCCTGGCACTGGGCAAACAGCTTGCGTCTCCCAGTGGCAACGTGGAGAATCACAGGCGAGACTTACCGGGAGTTTCGGCATAACATCATGTAGGGTCTTATTTAATTTCTTTTATTTCTGAGCTTGACGCCAGAAGGAGACGTGTGCTAATGCAACCGGCCAATACACAGTTGGGAGACGCTGTCTGTATACGGAGGGAGGGGCAAACTTTTGTACAGCAAGTGCCGTGTGAGCTTTAGGGCTGGAGTACTGGAAGTGGAACGATAGTCAATAATGAAGAGGGCATGGGCCCACAGGTAGGTCTAATAACAACATTTTCAAACTGGAAGCTCAAATGGAAACCAAGGAGAAGGAGGAAGACTTAGATATACATATGGCGGTGAGCTCCCAAAGTGATGCAGGCATGGCAAAAAGCTAACACGATCCCAAGGAAGTACCAGGCAAGGACTTTCCAACAGAGGGGAGCACTGCTGGCAAAGCCCTGGTGAGACCTGGGCACCCTGGCACGACCCTGGCCCCCTGCATCCACGACAGAAGAGCTCACGCTGGAAGAGGCGTGGAGAGGGGCTCCCGGGACGATCAGGGGAAGGAACGCCTGGATTCCTAGGGCGGCTGGAAGAGCTGGGTGTGCTCCGCCTAGCAAAGCAAAGGCTGTGCAGGGATCTAACTGCTCATGCATTTTCTATGCACCAGGGAGGGAAAAGAGCTGTTTAAGCTAAAGGACAGTGCTGGCATGAGAACACAAGGCTGTAAATGGGCCAGGAATAAAGCTGGGCTGGCAATGAGAAGATGGTTTCTAACCATTAGTACAGCCTCCCAGTAGGAGCAGGGCGGGGAGAAAAACCCGACTAGTGCTAAGATGAGGCTTGAGCCGTTCATGGCAGGGATCATCTGGGTGCATCTACACAAGACGTTTACTGCGGAGCTGGCTCATTAGCTCCGCAGTAAAGCGTCACTGTCTACACACGTGACCCTGTTAGGTCGTGGTAGACCAATAAATGCCACCGCACGGTAGTCCAGCTAAACATAAGTAGTACCCTACAACGGCGTTGTTTCATGCACCACCGTGCGCGTGTAGATGGTGACGAGGCTGGCTGGGGCACAAGGGTACTCCCTGCTGGCTAGTCCCCCCCCCTCCCTACACATGGAGCCTGGATGGAGCAAAGTACCCCAGGATGCTCCGCAGCAGCCTCTGGAGCAGCCTGCCAGCCCGGGGACAGGGCTCCATGTGCAGTGGGGGGGCCGGCTAGGGCACGAGGCTGCAGCCCGCGCACTGAAGCACCCATGCCCCAGCCTACCTTCCTCCTCCCCCCATCCTGCTGCACATGGAGCCCAGCTAGAGCAACCCTGGGCTGGCAGGCTGACCCCCTGGGTCTCCTACCAGCCCAGGCTACTTCACTGGGGCTTCACGTGCTCACACAAACTCCAGAGCAATATGCTCCAGCGTTTTTAGCTCCTGGGTGCACATTCAAACAGTGTGTCCAGGAGCAAAAAAACTTATTCGTGCACATTAATTGCATGTGTAGATGCACTCCTCTGACAAGGAGCCGGGGATACCAGGCACTGCACTCAGTGACCCGGGCAGGTCCTTCCAGGCCCAGGCTCGCTGGAGCTGCCGGGGGCTGGCTGAGGGACCTTAGCAGGAGGGCCCTGTCCCAGTGCGCTGGACGACAGGTGCTGCAGGGCTGGACATTTGAGTGTCTGCTTTTCTAAATAACTGAAACCGAGGATCTCTGCAAAGCACTAGGGGAGGGCAATGCTATAATGAAAACACTCCATCATCGGTGGAGGCCATTAGCCTGACTTACTGCTCAGCTTAAACAACTTGCCGACCACTGTGGTTTCCTGCTCCTGCCGTCAAACCCTGAGTGCATGCTTGGCTTGGAGGGAGGGGAGGGGGCCAGGGCTGGCCTGCACAGCCACCCAGCACGGCCGCAGGCCTGCAAGAAGCCCAGCCCCCATAGTGCCCTGTGGGGTGTCTTGGAAGGGGCAGGCGCCGTGCAGGGGCTCAGCCCTAGCTCCCCAATTCTTCTCTGGCTTCGGCCACCCCAGCCCCAATGGCAGCACTGGTGCCTGTGCCAGAGTGAGCAGGCCCTGCTCACCTGGACTAATGGCACCGACTGGTTTGCCCCCGAGGAGGATCTGCCTTGGCTGGCTTTCGGCTGGCTCGCTGCTCTCAGCCGGGCACTGGTGCAAGTGGGGCAGGGGCTGGCTTCAGTGACCTGCCCTCCTCCTTTGTGCCGCCCCCAGGCTCAAGTTACTGCCGGCAGTGGGAGCTGACACTCAAGCTCAGCCAGGGAGCTCTGGGGGGCACAGGCTAAGGTGACCCTGAGGAAGCTGAGCCAGCAAGAGGCAGCTCTGAAGGCAGCTTCAGCAATTAAAGAGCTCCTGGCACTAATGAGCCAGCCAGGGCAAGGCTCCAGGCAGTGCCTGTGCACCCCCGCCTAATGAGAGCCACTACCGCAGGGGGCCAGAGTTGGTGTCAAGCCCCGGAGGGACGGTCCAGTGGTGTCTGGTGCTCCCAGGTGGATCCCGGGGCTCTCAGGCTGGCCCTGAGAGGGCCTGAGCACCCTCCACCCCCACGACAAGGAGTCAAAGGCAGGGGCTGGCTGGCAGGCAGGGCTGGGCTGGGCTACCCGAGAGGCTCGGGTTTG